GAAACAGTGCTTTTACAGCCTTCTCTAAATGATGTTTTTTCCTGTACTTCTTGCATGTCTATTTTTTTTCCTCCAAAATCTGGTCAACATATCCATGCACAGTACTCCAGAATTGAACATACAGTATAATAGATTGTATGAGAACATCACAGTCTTGGCTGTTTTATTTTTAGTCCCTTAGATAATGATCCTGTGAATACTGCACCCAGAAGACTGTGATCTGAGTGTCTTAAATTGTATAATACTGATGAAATTATAAAACTGTAGTGGACATTTCTGGATGGCTCTAACTGATAAAAATTTCACTCAGAAAATTGGGTCTGGGAGTCTTCTCTTTAGATGAAGTGTTCATTCCTTATGAATTAAAAAAAAAAAACACAATTCCTTCTACCAAGAGTAGATTTCCCCTTCTCCCATTCCTTAGAGGAATTAGTCATATAAGAGTATCTTTTGGTCCTTCTGAGACTTCTTTAAAACAGGGGAACTACAAATTGCCTTTTTCTCTCTTTCCACATGTACTTCAGCTGTCATTATTTCCAAAATAAGTTTTAATTAAAGCTGTCCTCCATACAGTGTGTGTTGCACTTCAGCTGTGTAGCAAATAACACATTAATTTCCCCTGACTCCCCGTAATCTTGCTCTGTTTTATCCTGTTAACATCTTGTTCTGGCAAACACCGATGGGAAATAGCAGGTGTTAGCAGAGAAACAATACAAAGAATGGTTAGTGGAACTTAATGAAAGCTATTGCATTCTTTTCCACTTTTCAATATTTCTGCTATCTTTCTTGCCTTCTTATTTGGGATAAGATGTTTCTCAGTATGATTGACTTAGGATCCTTTTATTTTTGGATCATCATCAGAGTTTTCCTATTTGACAGCAATAGGTAGCCAACTTTTCCTGCCTTGGTGATTTCAGAAAGAATACCTGTCAGATTTCTGCTGTCATACAGTTGTGAAAATTTTGGACTGTTTCCAGCAGGAAAACAATATTGACCACTGATGAGTCAGATCTGAAGTTCACAAGATCTGGATTTTGCTTTTATTTGGACCTGTGATATTTGGAAGAGCCCAGATATGCTATCTACAAATCAATTTCAGAACTTGGAAATAGTAACTAAAACTGGCTTATGATTCTGTATAAGCACTTTTTGTTTTTGAATCTCTTCAGAATTCTTGGCTTAACTCACCCAGGATTTTTAAATTTTTCCTGTTATTGATTAGATTTCTGTTTGCCAATATGATAGAACCATATTATCTCATATATTATCTGACCAATGATGTACACTGAAGATGTCATATTAGAGAAAGCAACATTTTATTTTGGCTAGAAAACAGAATTAAACTATTGTCTCCGTTTCTCATGTATGAAAAGGATGTGATTCATGCCTAACCAATTAGTTAAGTAATTAGCAGAAAATTTTACCTATACATGTTTCATTAACAGTACGTTCCATTGTTTTCAGTGACATGTTATGGCTGGAAGAACAATACTGCAAAATGCAGCAGATGGACCAGGAATTAAGAGGGATAGGAAGAGGAAGACTTATATTATTTTATGTAGACAATATGTAATTATGTGTTTAAAACTAGATAGAATTTTTCTGCACATAACATATTAATAGTTCCTTTTTTCCTTTTGTTTTTTGTACTTTTGCATTTTTCCTTTCATTTAATTAATTAATTAAATATTATTTATTGAGGATTTTTTAAAATTAGAAACTGAGTCTCCTTGAAAAATTATGTTTTCATTGGCTGTACCTTATCTGTGATCCCCCTCTCCCCAAATCAGTAAGAAATCAGCAGGTTAGTATAGGAAGAAAAAGTTTAAAAGCAGTTTGAATCTTCATTTATAATTTTTCCTACATTCTAATAATGGACCGCATTGTTTTGTGAAGTTTTTTCAATTTGTGTATGCTGCATATTATTAAATGCTGGACATTATGAAGCTTGAAATCATATACTATCAAGAGGCTGTTTTGCACCATTCATTTATGATTTCTGTGAAACAAAATAGTTCCTCCTGCAGAATAGTTGATTGGATTTGGGTTTTTTTTAAATTAGACATCATTTGCAAACTATACATGGGGATAACTATATAAATACAGCCTGTCATGGATGGGACTGTTTCAAACTGTCATGTATAAAACTATGGCTTTAGTAGTTCTGGAGAAAAAATGGATTCCATTTGTCTTAAATGTTTCAGTGCTCCCATGATCAAGGCAGCCAAGAAGCTACTCTGGGCAGTTTACAACAATAAAACAGAAAAAAAATATTTAAAAATGTAAACATAACAATAGTAAAGGAATAAAACAATAAAAATAAACAATTGAAGTATAATAATATGAAATTAAAAAGAGGGGGCAACAGGAAGCACAGAGGTGAAGTAGGGTCAGTTAATTAGTCCGGTAGCCACCTCCAGTGTGGTACTCTCCTATTGGGTCCCCAGGCCAATTATAGAATCAGATCTTCAGAGCCTTGTGGAAGGATAGGTGACTAAAGGCAAACTTAACACTGGAAGTAATTTAGCAAACAACATGGGAAAAAATGAAAAATTCTTCATAATCTTGGTCTCCATCTAGTTATAGGAATAGACAAGAGGACAAACAGTCCTGAATCTTTTTTTCTGTCCTAAATTATAATGTTCTTTTTATCCGGACTGTGAGGCTACTAAAATAGGTAATCCTCTTATTTTCCTTTTCCCAGACCACCATACTAGCTAGGAAAGGAACTTAAAAAGAAAAAAAAAAGAAGATCTACTATAGTTCTGGTCCAAAAAGTAAGTGGGTCTCCTAATTTTTTGGGGGGAGACAATTACTAGATCCTCCTATCATCACATCTAGACCACAAAAGCCCAAGCACTTCTAGTAAATAAAATCTGGATTTTCTTCCCTGATTCTCTTTCAGTGGCTGTTGCATTCTTGAAGCCTAATTACTTTCTTTCAGAGACTCCCATTTTTTTTATTCTGCTTTATCTCTTATTCTTAGAGTACTCATAATAGAAAAGACAGCTATCATACCATACCCCATACTTCAAATAGCTTCCACTGATGCAGAAAAAACATTGGAAAGCTCACAAAGGATCTCCTGAATTCTAGTATAATATATTATCTTCATAATATATAATTTATTAGGGAATGGACTTTTCTATCCACAAAAATCTATAAGTACTTTTCTGAGGAGCCCTGATAGTGCAGTAGTGGAAGTGCAGTATTGCAAACTAATTCTGCCCACTGCCAGGAATTTGATCCTGACCGGCTCAAGGTTGACTCAGCCTTCTATTCTTCTGAGTTGCTCTTGCTATTCTTCTTGGTTGCTCAGATTGCTGGAGGTAATATGCAAATAATGCTTCTACATTGTAAACTTCCCAGGGGGGGTTGTAAAGCATTATGGGACAGTACATAAGCCTAAACGCTATTACTATCACTAATGCTATAAGTACTCCACTTTGGAATTTTGGTAGTATGCAACATGTAAGCCAAGACACAATTGGAAACTAAAATGTTCTAGATCTTTTTCTTCAGAATGGTTAATAATTTGATTATGGGGAAAATGTTTTCTTTGTACTTAATGAATTTAAGGGAAGTTTCTTCAGTATGTTTTATGATAATCCTTTTCATCTCAACCCACTACTGATTTACTGCATAAAGATGACATAAATTTTAATTCAAGTCAGAAAGTACATGAATCTGAGGAAGGAAGACCTAAATATTCAATAATGATGCCACTAATGTCTAGTAGATAGAATTTATTCCTTTTAGAGCCTATTACATTTCTATTTACAATTGCAAATAGCATTTAAAAAAAGACAACAAGATAGATTTGATCTAGAACAAAAGCTATAAAGTTAAATTAATACTCTGCTGTGAAAATTAGGCAAAAAACCTCTTTGCCTTTTCTGCTCAATCAATATCAGATTCTTTGCTCTGCCATGTACAATGTTTCAAAGTGAGCCAATGAAGCAAAAAAGATTATGTCCAATTGCCTACCACAATCCTAAATACTGATTCTTACTGATTCATTTAAAAATTACAGAACACAGAAAATGGGTAGACCTGCACAATTGTGCTATACAGCCAGTACCCACTTAATGACTTTTTGAATGTACAATGGCAGTGAATGAGTGACATTTACAACTAGTCCTTGTACTCACAATAGTCTCTGCAATCATGTAATTGTGATTTGGACACTTGGCACCTGGTTTCCAATTACTTCATAGCATCATTTGTCACTTTCTTTGCCAGCTTCCTACAATTAGTCAATGGGGAAGCCAGTCGGAAGTCTCAAATGCAAGCATGAAATGTGCTTGTTTAATAACCCACAGTGATTCACTTGATGATGGCAACCAGAGGTTCTGGAATTTCCATCACTAAGTTCCACAGTCATATGACGTCACTCTTTATAACTGTGCTGCTTAGCAAGTCCAAATTACCATAATTAAGTAAGGACTATTTGTATTTGCTTCAAGATGGAAAAGAAATGGCATTTCCTGATGCTCCTGTGACACATAGGAATTTACATTAATTTAGTCTATGCCTCTGCCTAGTTATATAGGTAAATTCAACTTTTTCAAATGTCTATGCTGGTAAGAATTATAGCAGAGCTGTTCCAGAGCTTCTGAAGTCTACCGCACTGAGGAATGATTAGCAATCTCATGTATATTCTAATCTCAGTTCCAGGATCTGGCAATCTTTGTGAATGAAAATGTGCATATTTGAAAGCAGCACTCAGTAAATATTGAATTTTGCTAGTCTACCGTCAACACAGGTGTTGTTTTTTCTGTAAATATCAAAACACTGTGGTTACTGCTTACACTTTTATATGAATCACTCCTGCAAAGCTTCCCAAGGTGCATTTTTAGCAAACTGCATAGTAGCAAGAGCATATGTCAAATGCTTAAGGCACACAAAGATTTGGTAAAAGAAAAAAAGTATGTCTTTGACATTTTTTGGAAAAATAAATTGACAAAATATGTTGAAAATCATGCACCAAACTGTATCATTATGAGAAAATATTTATTATGGTAGCTAAATATTTATTACGGTAGCTATAATTTCATAAAATGTACATACACATTATGTGATACTAAATGAGATAAATTTATCTTAGAAGCATAATAGGTAAGCATTGTATTAAATGTAGTGGACATTTTCATGTAGCTCATAAGAAAATGATAATACTTTCACTGTTATGCATGTAACATAGTTGTTAACATCACAGTATCCATGGTTGTTAAACTCTATAGCCTTATGTTTGGTGACAGGTATCTTATTTCTCAACTTGAATGCCATATTAATTGGTATTCTGCTAATGTTTACTGAGTATTAAGAATATTTTCATGTACCTGTCATAACCAATAATGGCTTCTCTAGATTTATCTTCAATTACATACAGACAAAATCAATCAAATTCTGTAACATGTGCATATGTACCACATTGTGCATTACATGTGAATACTTTTTACATTTCATATAGATAAGTGAATCAACTTGAAAAGACATTTGACTGATAACTAGCAATATATGGTTTAGATTAATAAAGACATTAATAATCCATGCATTTTAAACAAGTATTTATGGTAGCAAGTTTATGGTAGAAAAAGAAGAGATACAACAATACAAATCAAGCAATTCTCAACTAAGAGAAAAAGAAATCACAAAGTGTTTCAGCCATGCTTACCTGACACTTGGAGTATAACTCTGAAATAGACCCATCTCTTAAATGTGTCTATTCTGATTAAGTCTAGACAAAGACTTTTGTTGTACATATAAAATTTTTGCAATAGCAAAGCAGTGAGGGGCTTCACCAGGAGGGAGTACTATTAAGATCACACAAAGTGTATTGCAGCTTTGAAGCAATTAAATGCATTTTTAAGAAGCCATAAAAGAGAAAGAACAACTTCAGTATAAATTATTGGATTCAAGAAAGATTTTATCACATAATTTTCATGTTGTTCAATTGTCTTAGTATGTTAAATCTCAATACTGCAGTTCTAACTTTTTCAAATGCAAGGCACAATCTTCCATGATGGCCTGGTCACAACCCTTCAATTAAAAACAATCATCCCAATTCTTGCAAGATTTTAGCAATCTCCTAAGAGAATACTAAAATCTTAAAACATTTAAGGGTCTGGCATGATATCTCATGTCAGAATACAAAATCTAATAAGGTTTGGAGAACTTGTAAAAAGATTTCCCATTATTTAATATACAAAAGAATAGCAAAAATAATTTTTTGTATCTCAGCATTTTGACCTGCTTTCCTGCCACAATTGACCTTAAATTTTACAAGCTTTCTACACCATTTAGAGTTCTAGAAAAATGGGTTTCAAAATTTATGAATAATTCCCAAAGATATAAAAGGCTGCAAACAGTCACTCCCTATTATGTATATGAAAACTAGAATAAAGGAAGAACTATCTTCTTTTACTTCTTTAGAACCCTTAAGAATTAAAATGGGCTTAAGAATTTTCCAAATCCAGTATCTCTACTGGGCCTCTTGTATACTTGTGAAAGGTAGACACTTAGAAGATGTATTATTCTAAGGTGATGTTTGTAAGTTCCTCAAGACTAGGTTATGTTATTAGGGGTCCCAGAAACCTGGGGTCCCAGGAAACCAGCTGAATTTTAAGATGGCTCCCCTGTTGTGATTGATGTGGTTGATATTTACTCTCTCCATTTGTGGCTTTGCTCTTACTGCTTCCATCAGAAGAATGAAAGCAGCATCAGGACATAAACTCTGTCCCACAAGGACATGTATAGAATAGAACAAGGGCTTGTATCAATTACAGAAGCTGCTGTATACAGCGAAGCTCTTGAGTGAATGATTTGCTTACTTTATACTACATAAAATGCCACAATAAATATGGTCTATCCACATATTAGTACTCTTATATCTAAGATGAGCTAGTAATCATTCATTGATAAAATTTAAATAATTACACAAAGTTATGAACCTCTATGGATATTACTTGTGAATTTCAGTCCCTGTTCTTCCATAGTTACTTCTATATGCTTAATGTAATTAAGAGATTGGAAAAATGAAGTTTATCCAGAAAATGGATTATTTATCATTGATCTAATTCCTCATATACTTACTATGTTGATTGATGGAAAGAGAAATGTTGTTTATTAGGCATATTATTTACTTATTTATATCTGCACTGGTGCAGTGGAATATTTAAAACTGACATCAAAAGATCAAACATTACTAGCTAATTTTTGCATATTCCATTTATAGCATATAATGAGATGTGACTGTGACAATTACTTGAAAACACAGGAATCAAATAATTATATTTATTGGAGAGACAAGAATGGGTGAGCATTCAGGTTCAACCAGTGCTAGATAAATTCGGGGCTTCTTCTGTGAAACAGCTCATTATTTCAGAAAAAAGTTAGCAACATTTATTTAAATTCTACTCTTATGCCTACATCTTGGTGGAAATGTTTATAAATGTGATAACAATGTGAAATGTAAACAACATAATCCTAAACATGCTTATGTGAAAGTTAATCCTCATATGAATAATGGGATGTATTATCTGTTAAATATGTTTCTGAGTGAAGCTAAAGGCAGAAAAATAAATGAATCTTTCATATTTCAGTCTTGAAATGAATTGGATCCACACTAATCTGGACTACTTTTCTTTAGGAGGACAACTGGTGAAGTGTTATTTATTTGTAAGCAGTAAGTAGTAAGGTTACAACAAATCTCTCTATATTTTCCTCAGTAAAGGCCTGAAGAGGTCCAAGGAATTAAATATCTCATCTAAAAACTGAAGCAAGCAGGTTGAGAATCATATTGTATGAAAATCTCATTTCTAACAGTGTTGTAATTCCTTCTCCCCCGTCCATAGTATATTTATACTGTAAATTAGTGACTGTAATGCATGCAACAAAAATATGTTTTATCAGTTTATGTAAACATTAGCTTTCTTCATGCAAAATGCCTACAAAACTGTGGCAACAAATTATTCTAATAACATCATTTTACATTAGCTCTGTCACAGCAACTGTTATTCCTGCTTCTATGATTATGCAGTAGAGAATATTTTAAAAACCCTTGAAAGATTTCCAGTCTACATCCCTGTTCATTTCATTTTGTAAGGTTTGAACGACTATTTGCTTTAGTTCCTTGTTCTTTTAATGATGGAAGAGAAAAGGCCAGTTTTTGGAGGAGGCCCCATCAGAACTGGAGCTTGATTCTTGTGGGTAATTTTTATCTGAAAAAAAAAAACAGTTATAATTATATCACCTGTCACAAGATAATTGTAAGCTTTCCTTTCCTAACTTTTAAACATGTTCCAATAGAACATAGGGCAAGAGAATACAATTTTTAAAAATTGATTTCATTATTATAATCTTTCATTATTCAAATGAAAGATTAACATAATCATATCAATTGAATTAACGTCACTACCTCATCCTCCTAGTGTCTATTTACATTTGTTTTAGAATATTTTAAAATATCATGAAATTATCATGAAATATAAGAAAACACATGTAAAACATAGTAATAACAAGATCACATAAAATATACATTTTGCATAAAATAGCAGATTCAGTATTTGGTAGGTAAAAAGCATATTGGGAAAAAAATAAGCCACGGTATTCCCTATATATAATAGTCATCCCCCCAGCTTGGTGAAATCTTATTTGTAATATAACATTCTAATTATATAGACAACTGCTCCCATCTATAGGATAAAACAGAATTCAATATACAGTACATTGAATCCAATTAAATGGCATAGAGGAAGTATAGTTGTGCTTGCAACATATTCAGAGTAGACCTGTTTGATATGAATCTCAATACAGCAATTAGTCCATGTTCCACATTTAACCTCCCCTTGATTAGGATATTTCTCCCAAAAGTGGTCTGTTGTATCCCTTGTTTGATATATATATATACATAAATATGTATATAAAGAGGTAGAAACTGGTTCTATTCTCTTTTGCTCTTGCAGGATTAAGATAATAATGATATTGTCTCCATTATGTATAAAAAAATTGGCACTCAATTATATTACAATTTCTTATTTATACTTCTGGATTCATTGTGCTTAACATGAACTTCCATGCTTAATTTGAAAATAACCACTAGGACTTGAAGTCGAAGTCTAGCATGTTAAAAAGGTCAAAAATGATTAAGTAGCATTCTAATTTGTTAATTAATTGGTAGTAAAATCAAATCAAATATGAAAACCCTGTTTAAAACCCTATGAAAGATTACTTCATAACTACCTATTTTGATTTCTTTGATATAAAACCAGAAATCACCTTAAATGAGACAACCCTCGTGTAGATTATGTCTCCAATTTTCTCTAATTCAAGTCTAAATTAGAGAAGACATTTTATGAATGTATGCTATGCTCAAAGCTAATTGAAAGCAATTATCAAAGTGGCATTTTGTCTGTGACTTTAAGATACATTGTGAGATAATAAATGATTCTCATTATGTAATAAAAAGGTCACATCTTGCCTTTGGGCCAGTGAGGCTTACAGTTTTTCAAAAGCTATTTGAGACATTTTCTTTAGTGAACTACTGCTAATACAAGAGCTATCACTTATTAAATATCAGTTGTCATCTACACAGCACCCCCATCACAGATAAGTATCTTTTTAAAAAAGAAACACCGACTCATTAAAACTGGCAAAAATATATCTCTTAAAGTGCATACCTGACATTTTCAAGCTAAAATGAATATCCTTCACTTGTCATTCACTAATAGCAATGAAACAAAAAGGTACACTAAGAGGAGAGGCTCATTAAAACAGAGGAAAGATTATTTCTTGGATGAAAATTTGCTATCAAAGGTGCACACACACACACACACTTTATTATTTCCCAAACTAACTTATATAGAACATACATGGATTTCTATGTTTAATAAATGAGCAATTTTAATTTCTCTTTTATTTTCCTAATCTTTCACTTGTTTTAATTCAACTGTAGCTTTTTAAGAAATGTTCATGAAAAATAGTGTGGATCTTCCTATGTATTTCTCCTAAAATTGCATTTATGTATCCATTTTGACCAAAAATTCTTTGGGTTTTTTTTTTTTTTTTTTGTACAAAGCTTGTTAATATACTTTAATTGGTGTAGATGTTCAAATTATTCCAGTTCATATTCTGATACGGGCTATATAAACTTTTCAGGCTGAGTAGCACATGAAGTTGTGAAAAGGATCAATATGGAAAGCTATCCTTCATACTTTTCTGCAGAAAAATTGTGATGAGAATTATTTGAAAGAAAAAACAAAGTCACTTCTTTTCCCCAGTCCAGTAAAAAAATTGAAAGGAGGATTATGGTTAACAGTTCTTCCTACAAGCCTGGCAAGACAAACTACATGTATATGAGAAAGACCTTAATATGAGAACTGATGTTTATGTGAATATGTACCATTACGTTTGATGTAGGTATATTTACGCTGATCATATCCTAAAACTCCATCTACCTGTATATATTTTAAAGCATGAGGGCCTCATCCAGTGGTGAAATGTAAAATTTGTTACTATCGGTTCTGTGGGCGTGGCTTGGTGGTGGGATAATGTGACTGAGTGGGCCTGGCCAACTTTTTTTTTTTTACTTTTAAAATCATTTTTTCTACAATTTCTTCGGCCGAAGATGTTGTAAAAAAAATGCTTTTAAAAGCCTCTGAAGATCAGGCAACTCAGTTGGGATCATCAGAGCCTTTTAAAAGCATTTTTTCTACAACCTCTTCGGCCAAAGAGGTTGTAGAAAAAATGCTTTTAAAAGCCTCTGATGATCCCAGCTGGGCTGCAGGATCATCAGAGGCTTTTTTTACTTTTAAAAGCATTTTTTCAGCTGAAGAGGTTGTAGAAAAAATGCTTTTAAAAATAAAAAAAAAGCCTCTGATGATCGCGTGGTTCAGCTATGCATGGGGAGGGGGCAGGATTTTTGCTACTAGTTCTCTGAACCACCCGACCCCATCGCTACTGGATCGGGTGATACAATCCAAACCAGGAGTATATCACCCTTGGCCTCATCCATTAACTGCCTAATTTACAGGAGAATATTAGACATGAAATTGCAAATCTGTAGATCTCCCTTTATATTGTGGAATGAATTCTATATTGAGAAATTCATAATTCACATATCCAAACCAGCATTCTATCAGTAATGCAAATATAATGTAAAACCTAGCTTAGATCCAATGACCTCTGCAATTTCCTTTCTCGAATGCTTGGAAGTTTTCACTTTCTTAGTTCCTCTATATGCAATTTGTGGCTGCATATTATGGCTGCATATAGTCCATGATCAAAAAGCACATTTTTATGACTTTTAAACTACCCAGAGTGGTGGGTGTTAAACATTTTTTCCTATTTTTGGGTGCTTTTGAAAGATTTTGAAGGACAAAAGCTTGTATTGGTTCATTTTAGCTCTGTTAATCTTCATGCCCTATCAGAAATGTATTTAAAAAGTCCTGTTAAAAATTGCAAGGAAGAAATGTTGAAGAAATATTTGAAGTTCTTTAATAATGTAAGGGGGTGACACTTCTTTTGGTTCTATTTCTTATATCTTGTTTTTTGGTGGCATTTAGAAAACATTTATCAATAGAGCAGTTTTAGTTTATTGAACAAACTATGGTTTAATATTATCAATGAAGCCAGCATTAGTTTTTTTGTTTTTTTTTACAGAATGACATCTGGATTGAGCAAGGCAATGACAATGATAGGAAACAGTAAAGGAAAAAATGCTGAGGCACTAAGGCTATCATTAATGGAGAGAATAGCCTGTTTCCTTTCATTTGAGTACTAAACAAACTAGGTCACTGAAGGCCAACTCATTTTTTTTTTGGCCTATCCTAAAAAGTCAGTTATTGCTGCCATTGGAAACACGGCTTTGGTTTCTATGGAGGCCAAATTGAAAGGAAAGACTTAAAAAAGGCCTAACAACTAACCAAGAAAACAAACAAAATTACAAGAAAAAGATGAGCTTGGAAGCCTATATAAAATACTATCAAGGACATGACCCTGCTGGAGAAAGTGTTCACTTTTTGAAGGTGATTTTTGAAGATTGTAAAGACTCAAAAGCTTAAAAGTACAGAGGAACAATAACTGGGGATTGATAATGCATAAAAGCCCATAAAAGCCAACTCCTTTTAAATGATTAAACAAAACACTGTCTTTCTCAGTTTTCAGAGCTCTTCTGGAACTTTCTTTCTGTTGTCCATGCAGGTAAGTCTAGAAAAACATGGGGTGGCTTTAGTGATTTGAAAAGACTAATTTCACATGCACACCTGCAACTCAGACTTATTAAGTATAAAGCAAGTTTAGGAGGACTTGTAAGTTTTTAAATTATACTACCATTCCTGTCATTATTTACATTCTATTTCTTATAAGATAGATTCTCCTTGCCAATGATCCACCACAGAATATCATTAAAAAATTTAAACAATTTCTTAGCAATATCATTGCACCAACTGGAATTAAATCTAATTAGTTTGGCATTAATTAAGCTTTAATAATGTAGTCTAGTATCACCCCTAAATAGTGTGATCCATTTCCCCTTCACATAGGTAAATTGGAAAACATGGTGGTGTCATCATAATTTTTAAACATACTGAGAAAATGACAGAGCTGCAAAATTAAAATAAATGATTAATGACATTTTTTCATGTTTTATACTAATAGGTATTGCTGAGCCTTTAAATTAATAAAGCTGTCAAGATCAGGGTTGTTACAGGATCCAGCACTGAACCAAAATGGAAATTATGTATTCCAGACACCTAAAGATGACACTTTGGAATATTTTAAATTTTAATTAGTAGGTGCAATTATTCTGGCCCCTCCCCCACCTTTAACTACTACAAATTAATTGGCAATTAGTCACAACTAATTCTTTTTTTAACAGTCTGAACTGGAAAGATAGGTGATTACATCTCAATATAGTTGTCTAAGGTGCAGAAAGCACACATGCAGTAAATTGCATTGTCAATTATGCAAAAAGAAAAGAACCAAAAATAAAAAACGAAACTTGTAAAATAAAACAAAAAATGTGCATAGGTTGACAAAAAAGTGTATGCTGTTTAGTGAAGACAACTCCAAAATAACACCCAAATAAACAATAGAGTGACAAACCTCAAATGTATGCTAATGAGTTATTCACTGTTAAATAAGATTTGTGATTTTAGATAGGAATTGTTTGAGCACAGCTGGATATACGTTCCAATGAGAGTCTTTTCTTCCTGGAAGACAGTGTAGTCCTACTACATGGAGCAGAAAGAAATAGGACATAGCTCTCTACACAAAGTCCTGCTGGGTGCATTGGACCTGATGCATCAAACTATTATGCTTTCAATTAAAATACAAGCTCTTTCAAATAAATGAATTTAACTAAAGAACTTCAATATAAGTGCTGTTTGAGTATTCCTGCTTATGTCAAGGACTCAGCTCTTTTCCACTGACATTATCTACCAGACAAGTCACTCTTCTTTCTCCTTCTATTCTTCATGGAAGTCAATATAAATAACAACAGCTTCTTGAGATTCCTTCCTAGATATTCAAATTATATCATAGAATGATGTAACTGTTCTTTGCAATTTAATTTATATCCATAACAGAAAGAAATAATTGTCAATAAATTTGATAAGTCTTGGAAGTCAGCACAGTGTTTTTTATGGTTTCATGTCATCCCAAGTCACCAATTCATAATCTTTTCAGTTTGTTTTTTTGAAACAAATTGTTTCACAGTTTGTTTTTTTCTCTGAAGTCAGTCTTCTTCAATAGGGTGTGAAATTGTTCCTCAGTTAGTAGTGTAGAATAGATTCTGTGTCTCTTGCTTCTAGTTTATCACTGTTATCTATTGAACTTGTTATTTTGTCAGATTGTTTTCCTTATGTAAAGTTGCTTCCTTGAGGTACCTCTTTTGATTTGATAAATCTTAAATCTCTCTTATAAGAAATGTGTATACTTCTTAAACCGTTTGATTTTATTTTCATCCACATGCTACAAACATAGGCGCAATTATTTGGAGGCAGTACAAGCCATGATTGCAAATTCCTATCCATTTATCTCCAGTTTTTTCTTTTTCTTTTTGGCTCTTATTTTACAAAAGAATTTGCAGTGAAAATCTACCAGATTTTCCATTAAACTCTTGCTAAACCCTATCATTAAATTCCTGTTCGGTGAGCCTGTTTTATCACCCTGTAATGCTGTTCTCTAGAACTTGTTACCTTATATTCTGAAGTATTTTCAGCACACTCAGCAATCATTCAGTCATCCAAAAATATTTAAATATCCTTTGTGAGTGCATATGTTTCCAACCTACAAAACTGATCAAACCAAGTCCCAAAATCTAATTTTGATCCAGTTAGCTCATAAAACTCTGTTCTGTTCAATGGAATGTAATAAACAGCAGCTGGCCAGAGGAACGTTTCTTCAGTAGCACCATATTATATAGTTTAAAAAGTTAATAGTAAAAAGATAAAAGGGTCAATAAAAAAAAAAGATAGGGCAAGATAAGGAAAAAGATAAAGGAAAGGAAAAGGAAAAAGATAACAAAAGATAAGAAAAAATATAAGATTAGACATAGGAAAAGAAGAAAAAACATAAAGAACAAAAGATAAAAAAGATGAGAAAAAATATGATAAAAGATTAATATTAAAATAAGGAAAATAAGGCAAAGAAAAGAAAAGAAAAAGATAGGAAAGATAAAACAGATAAGGAAAAATAATGAAAGAAAATGAAAATAATAAAAAGATAAGAAAACAGAAAAAGAAGGAAAGAAGGAAAATAAGGAAAAGATAAGAAAAAAATAAGGAAAAGATAAGGAAATAAGGAAAATAAGAAAACAAAGAAAAAGAAGAAGATTAAAGAAAGATAAGGAAAAAGAAAAGGACAAGGAAAAAGATAAGAAAGAGAAGAAAAGGAGAAAAAGAAATAATAAGAAAAGATAAGAAATGAAAAGAAAAAAGGTAAAAGAAAGGATAAAAAGAAATAATAAGAAAAGATAAGAAAAAATAAGAAAAAGTTAAGAAAAAATAAGAAAAAGGATAAATAATGATCAGGAAAAGGATAAGACTATGTTATATTGCAAGTTTGGGATTACTGTTACCACTTTACCTGTCTAACATGTCACTTTACCCAAAGATTTGTAAGAGGCTCTTTCCACACTTATGCTTTTTTTTATTAAAACAGGACATATGTCTACTTCCAGTATCTACTAAATCTCTCACACTGATCCCATTAACATTTGTTGTGAATCATAATTTTTCTCAGAGATGGTTACAATACTGTAGTTGTTTCTTTTTTCTTCTAGCTTTTAAAGTCCTTGGATAAATGGCCGCCTTTTTCACTGGTTTGACAACTACAGTTAGCGGACTCCAAAATCCCAGAGACCCAACACAATTTCATCTGACCTCTAGGCAACAAATAGTGTTCAAAGGCTAGTACTCACTGTTTTTCCATTCTACCACAATTCCTATGCCTCCACTACTTCTCTTTGTGATCCCTACTTATGAAGAACAGTAACTGTTCTGTTTGCCTTAGGCTGATTCAGGCACTTTTAGTTTTCCAAATGAAAACAAAAAAAAGCAACTCCTGCTTCTCTGTTCAGCTTTTATAGCCATCAATTTTTTTAAAAAAATTGATTTATATGCCACCCTTCTCCGGAGATTCAGGGCAATGCATTAAGCAATACTGGGTTAGCTAGAGGGAGGTCTTAAGGCAGGGGTCCTCAAACTTGGCAGCTTTAAGACTTGTGGACTTCAACTCCCAGAATTCTCCAGAATTCTCCACAACATTCTGGAAGTTGAAGTCCACAAGTCTTAAAGCTGCCAAGTTTGAAGACCTCTGTCTTAAGGGGACAGGGCACCAGCAGCCTAGGTGCTGGCTGTTTTGAGGCTGCTAGTGCACTCACAATTGGACACACTTATCCAATTGGTAGATAATCCACAATTATCTACCGCTGCCTTTATCTTTTTTTTGTGGAGGTAGGATTTATTGATATTCCACTTAAAAAATTATTTGATTATAATTCATGGTTTCTTAGGGAATTCTTTTACACTGACTTGTATATTAATTGGTTGAATAATAATAATTCTATTTCTCTCAGAAGTATATTTAAAACCTATAGTATGATCTTTAAAAAAGCATGCTTTCAGACACATATATCTAATTGTTTGTTTGATGCTGTAAATATTGCTCATTCATTTATTTCAGATTCTTCTTCACATTTCATAATCAGAGATGTGATTGGCTATTATATGAAAAAGACCTTTTTAGTGATCACACTAAGACTATGGATCTTTCTGTTCAGAAAGTCATACTTTCATTAGGAGAGTATTCCTTTGCCTGGTTGTTAATGTTTTGATGCTAAATTCATTTAACTTGCTTGTCTGAAATTGACTATTAGTGTCCTTTTTTAAAAGGTATTTCCAATTATTATCATATTGTTTTTTAAAAAAACTGTTCGACATTTTGTTATTTTAACCATCTTGTTCTTTCTTGAGTGTTCTTTTTAAAATAAAGGTGGAACATCAATTTGAAATTATCAACATAAAAATGCAACCATCTGTGATTGCATTCAGTTCCCTTTTGTGTGAATACTTGGTGACAAACTTGGGTGTAATATGTGAATTGGCTGTAATGGATTTAATCTGATTTCCTACTTCTTCTCTAGAGAGTACATTAGAATAGAGACATCTCCCATCGTGTCTGCATCATGATTACATTTCCTTGATTATTTAATCAAAGCCTGCCATAGTCTTTCAGAACCCTGAATTGTTTGCATAAAATCAGTTAGAAAAGTTGAATGGCCAGAAATATTTATTGAGCATTCTTTTATCAAAGTGCAACTGAAAACTTTTATGTACTGAATCATACAAAAGGAGGTAATGAATGCAATTGTATATTGTGCTGCATAAATCATTCTTACTGAAATGTGCAAGATTTCAGGATTATAGAATAAGCACTAATTTTATTACGTTGGTCATCTTATTGCATATACTGAGCAAGACAAACTTACTGTACAAGGTGTTTGCATCCATGGCTCCCCATCAATCTGCATAGGCAAAGATTTGCTAGTCCTAATGCAAGAAAATATAGGAATGCAGAGAAAATAAATCAAGGACATGTTTTAAATGCTGCATCTGATATGGAAAATGGTACAGTGTAAAGTCATAATCATAGTTGAAAAATAAGGCATATACACCTTTTTTAACATACAGTATATATGTGTGTGTATTTTCCAATTCCATAATAAATCCATAATTCATTATTTTTTTAAAAAATCAAATACAAGCATGATTGATTTAACAATTTTGGCTCAAGTTATTCTTAGTTAACTTTGCCATATGGTAAATTAGCAATTTGTTTCAACAGGTCTCCAACAGGCATGTTTCCAGGAGATATCTGAGCCAACATATTTGACAAATCATTCACAGAATTAAAGAATCATAGAGTGGGAAAGAACTATTTAAGACACTAAATTCAACCCACTGCTCAATGCAGGAATCCAGATTAAAGAATCCCTAAAAATTATATCGGAGTTCCTGTTAGAATACAACTAATAAAAACAGCTCGCTACTTCCCATGCAAATTATTCCAGTATTGAATTGCTCTTACCATTATACTAATACTCCTAAAATTCTCCTAAAACTTGTCTTCCTATAACTTAAATTTCTTTCTAAAATAACTTTTACAAAGTAATGCAGACTACGATGATAGAACACAAGTTCCATGCTTTCCTTCCATGCATCTTTCCAGGTACGTGAACAGTCCATATCACCTTTCAATCATCTTTCTTTTTCAGGCTAAAATTTCCGCAATCTCTCCCTATAATTTTCAGTCTTCTGATCACTCTCCTTGTCTTTTACTGAACTGCTTGAAATATAGTGACCTATTTGTAGAGATGTGTAGAATGGGATACAATATTCATGATAAGGTCTGACTGAAGCAGAATGTAATGGAATTATTATTTCTTGGGATTTCTTGATACACCCTAACATTGAGTTATTTTTTAGCTGACTTTATGCTACTTATTCATATTCAGCTTGTGAGTAACAAGATCCTTTTCACATGTATTAGAATTAAGGTAGCTAGCTCACACCACAAAGAAGAGTCAGTCAAGCTATTCTCCAAAGCACCTGAGGCAGTGGTGAAATCCAATTTTTTTACTACCGGTTCTGTGGGTGTGGCTTGGTGGAAGTGGTGTGGCTTGGTGGGAGTGGTGTGGCTTGGTGGGAGTGGCTTGGGTGGGCATGGCAGGGGAAGTATACTGCAAAATCTCCATTCCCACCTCACTCCAGGGGAAGTATACTGCAAAAACTCCATTCCCTTCCCACTCCTGGGGGAAGGATATTGCAAAATCTCCATTCCCACCCCACTCTGGGGCCAGCCAGAGGTGGTATTTGTTGGTTCTCCAAACTACTCAAAATTTCCACTACTGGTTCTCCGAACTGCTCAAAATTTCCGCTACCGGTTCTCCAGAACCTGTCAGAACCTGCTGGATTTCACCCCTGAAGGTAGGACAAGAAGCAATGGGTAGAAACTAATCAAGGAGAGAAGCAACCTAGAACTAAGGAGAAATTTCCTGACAGATAGAACAATTAATCAGTGGAATAACTTGCCTCCAGAAGTTGTGGATGCTTCAATACTGGGAGTTTTTAAGAAGATATTGGATAAGCATTTGTCTGAAGTGGTGTAGAATTTCCTGCCTAAGCAGGATGTTGGACTAGAAGACCTCCAAGGTCCCTTCCAACTCCGTTATTCTGTTCTATTCTGTTCTGTATGCATTAAATATATTAAATGGATCACTTTGTATTTGATTATATTAATTTCAGCCTATTTCCCCAACTTTCTGAAATATTTTTGAATTTTTATTATTAGTATTAACTATCATAACCAGGCTTGTCTGTGCAAATCAAATCCATTCATTCATTTAATCCATTTTTTATTGGATTTATTGAGAAAAATCTGGGAGTATACAAAGCCAAGCAGCGACTCTTCTGGTACCCGTCTTGATGCCATTCTCCATCAGAATTCTTGCTGTGGATTTTTAGACATGCCATATGTACCATATTTAACTACCAAATCTTAAATAGTCAGACTTTATTGAAATCTAGTCATATAAGGCATCCCTTATATGCCTATCTACTTGGTGGTAAAGAAGCTACTAAATCAGAAAATTACTCTGAGATATAGCAAATTATGTTGTGGAGTTTAAAGTGATTTTGCTTTTTCTTATTATTTATTACTTTTTGCCATCTTTAGAGCAGCTACTGTACATTATTTTCTCTTATTTTTATTTTAAACATATTGGAAGTTGTACTGTTTGTTTTTCTTTGCATTTCTGTTAATTTAATACCATTCAGATTTAAGTTTTCTGCTATTACTTAAACAGACTATAAATACTTGAATCATTTTTCTTTGGTGACTTGTGCAACTTTTTATTTTTCTATTTTCACTAACTTTTTCTGCAGCCGTACTTCCTTGTCTAATGTCCTCCATTTGTTTTTGTTTTTTGTTTTACTCACTGGAACTGTTTAATCCTTAATTTTTTTCCCCTTTTTTATACATTCCACCTATCTTGTGTTTCTTTTCCCATTAGCTTTTTCTGCCTTGTATCTTATTTATCCTTAGTTCTGAATTTATTACAATTGAATTATTCAATTAATAGGATGAATACAACTTATTGACCTGTCAAAACTAACCTATCATGTGAAGATAACTAATACATGCTGATCTTACTAACACAGAAAAGTTACATCTCAAAAATTCAATGGTTGTCATATTTTGTGTCATACTTGTTGTAATATTTTGTGAATAGAGTGCCAGACAACTCATTTGACAAAAGAACATGAGCAATACAAGTTGTATCTGATCAAAAATCAATCCCAGTATGATGTTTTGTCCAACCTGAAGTGTTTTGAGATAATTCCATGGTTGCTTCCATTTAGTAGTAAATGATATATTACTTTTGAATTAACCATTGAGAGTATCTTCTATGATTTCCTTAAAACCTTATTTAAAAACATCCAAGCTATTAAGTATGAGTCTGAGTTCTAGAAATGTATTACTTAGAGTTGGTAATGCCAGATTACACCTGTTCTGATTTTTAGTTGATAAAGGCAAAGAAATTTTTTTTCATGGAAAAATTGTTTCTTACCTAATGACAACAGAAGAACACTGAGAAAGACGTCTTCCTGCACTTTTCAGTCCAGTATATATTTGTCCCATTTCCATGGCTCCTTCCAGGCCAACCACTTCTACCAATTGATCACTTAGGTCTGAAAACAAAATGTACAGCTCTACTGAAAACTGTGGAGGAAGCAGTTAATACAAACAGCATCCTTTTGTCTTATTCTCTCACTCTTCTCAATAAATATATACACAAATGAACTAGAAATTAATAAATAGTTCTTGCCAAAATATTACTATTTCTAACTAACAGCACCTTTGAGGAATATATTGGAATGAGGAGAGTTTGGAATGTTCTAGCATGTCATTGAGAGAATAGCCTTGGTGACAACTAAAATAGAAGTAAAACTGATTTCAACAAAGCTATTTTCTTGGTTCATCATTAAAAAAATACTATAATCTTTGCATTGCTACCTTTCCACAAATATAATCAGATATCACAATAAGCAAAGCATGTGTTCAGACTACACACACAAAAAAAGCATTAAGCATTAAGATTTAAAAAGTCACCTGAACTGGAAGAAAAAGCATTTTTTATGTAAAGCTGAGAACGAGCATGTTCCCTGTGCCAATTGTCTTAACTCTGAATTATTGTTCCTTCAGTTTCCTACTATGTCATGACTGGCAACAGAGATTTCATATCCATTTATTAATCAAAATTTCAAATCAGAACCAAGCCATTACAGATATGGTTAATAGATGGATTTTAAATAATTCTCAGTGTGAATGTAATGGGAATGCAATACGCGTTGTGTTCTAAGTTAAGTACATTATATCAGGCAAGGGTGATATATCACTCTCTGTTCATCGATTCATTGAAAAGACCTTAGTATACTTGGATTAACAAGGCATCCTGCATAAGAAGTGCCTACCCAAGAAACTGGAACATGCCATTGTAATTAAATCCTATTCATGCTTATTTAAAAGAAAGTCTCACTGAATTTATAGGTAAATTGCATATCCAAGTATCTTTATTAAGGATTACATCCCATGGATTTCAGTTTCTTTAGAAAGATAGCTTTAATATAAAGTTTTAAAATTTTATTTTTAACTACTCAGAAATAAATTACACTGAGTTAAACAAGACTTACTGTTATGTAACCTTGTATAAGATTGGAGCTTAGACTAAAAACTTATATTATTTCTGAAAAACTGTTTTGACATGATTTATTAAATTAAGACTAACCAACCACATATTAGAATGACATGAATTCAGGCTGTGTGATTAAATTGATGCATAAACTCAGATATATGATCACCAAATCTTAAAAAGTAGTAACTTAAAACATATACACACACTTTTTGTTACTCTACTTTTGCTTAAACTTGTTGCCAAGAACAGATGGATAACGAACAAAAACATTTTATTTCATGTTCATGTTTTTTTGCTTAAAATTCATGTTTCAAAGATTGATTGTTAATACAAATTTTCTTAGAAAATATTCTCCAAACTATAGAAAAAAATAATCAAATACTTGTTACTCATCTATAATTATCTTTATGATAATATAGATATTATTATATTATAGATAATAATATATAGATATTTATTATATTATAGATAATATAATAAAGTATAGAAAAAGTTGGTATGAGAAGTGGAAATCCCAATAAATTTTTAAAATAAATGAAAAATCTTCATTTCACAGATTAAATCTCTACAAGAAAAGTCATCTGGATCTAATATACTAGTCCTCGTTGAGGGTAGCACTCCTCCTAAAGTTGTGTGTCTGAAATACCAGGGGTCCTTCTCCACTTGCTAGTCCTGCTGTAAATCTTTGGTCACCTTTTGTGGTGGCCCAAATTATGCTGTTTCTGAAACAGGATGCATTGGCATCCTTCTAATCTCATCAATGAATGGATAGATAACTGCTTTATCCTACTAGGGGCTGCTTTTGAAACTATAATTGGTCTAAATGCAGTTGCCTACTTGCTGATGGATTGTTCCCAGTTTAACAGAGTAATACATATTCTGTCGCTGCTGCATCGTAGTAGGCATAGGTAAATTCAAAATTACAGTTATTATTTAATTCAATTCAAAGTTCTGGTCATTATCTATAAAGTCTTTATGGCTCAGGTACTTATCTCCTGTGGTGCATATTCTCTGAATAGATTCTTTATGTTCTTTGTACATTTCTGAGAATATGTGTCTGATTTCTACCACCAATATTATCTAGTTAGGTAATGAAAATTTGCAAACAAACAACCAAGCTCAGGGAGCACCAAGTACTCCACAGTCCTACTCTTCCAGATAGTTCAAGGTATGGTCATATGGAGGATATTTCTAGAACACTCTCTATCTCTGAGGATAGGATGGCATTTATTATATATTTTTATTTATTATTTCCTTACTGCTGTTTCAGTTGCAGATAGGTGATAAACACTCAAATGCCATGACATAACAAATATAAAAAAATAAAAACATTATATTTTATCAAAAAGTACTAATAATCATCACGATAAGCAGTTGAACTCTTGGTAACAAACAATCATTTATGTAGGGTGGGAATTCATCATTCTGTCATAGTCTTGCTTGTTTAATTAGGCTGGAGAATATTGGTCACATTTTTATTTTTCTGAATAAATGACTACAACAGTTATTGCTTGAGCATAGGTTGTAGAGGTTCTCATTTGCAGAGGGAAGAATCATAAATGCTTCCATTTAAGAAAGAATTGTTTAGCTTCGTTGCAATAAACATTCATCCCATACAGTATATCACTGAATATGCCAACTACTACTTCTCCTAATGAATTACAATGATATGGTGTTACCCTTATCAGAGATCTCTTAAAAACCATTACGGTAGATAAATTTGTAACTAGACCAGACTCTATCTGTTGAATATTCAATTATACTGACGGTCCCTAATGGCCGAGTTAGTTACTGCCTGTGTTCTGATTGGTTATAATGTGACAGCTCGGGCTATAAAAGGGAGCTGTCAAGCGCGGGAGTTGTTGTTGCCATGTATGCCTGAAACAGATTGAATAAACGTTGTAGTTGCTGTTCCTCATCGCCTCAGAGTCGTTCTCTCGCTAAGGATTTATTAGTGGCGACGAGGATGGGATCGGCCTGCAGAACTCTGTGAAAAGCGAAAGTGAGGTACGAAGTTGTGAAGCAACTCAGCTGTAATGAAGAGTCAAAGGGGGTGGAGAATGGCGTCCTCACACAATTTTGCCCCATTCAACCCTGCGATGGAATCGTGGGAGGCATTGTAGCCAGATTTGACTGTTTCCTGATAGCTAATGATTACAGGGAGCTGTCTAGTGAACGGAAACGAGCATATTTTTTAAGCTTCTGCGGCCCAGAAATGTTTGAGACTGCTATAACCCTCATGGCTCCCCAATCTATTCATACAGGGACATGGGAAGAGTTTATGTTAAAGTTAAAGAACCACTACGCTCCTGCACTGTCTCGAATCACTCGCCGCCAACATTTTTATCACCGCGATCAGGCTGAGGGGGAGTCAATTAGCCAGTACGTTGCGGCATTACGAAAAGCGGCCAGGCACTGCCAATTCGTGAATTTGGATGATTATTTGCTGGACAGACTAGTCAGTGGGGTGAGGGATGAGAACCTGAAAAGATGCCTCATCGCCAAACCGGAGCTATCCTTTCAGGAGACCCTGGATGAAGCATGTGCCGCGGAGCTGGCCAACCTCTCCTTGGCGGATTTGCCCCGCGGACAACAGCTCAATAAGCCTAAAGGCGAGCCCATTCATTACAATGAGGGTGAGTTTAGCGATGAATATGATTCCAGCGTGGACTCCGAAGTGGACCACATAAAAAACATGTCACGCCCTGCTAGACAAGCCAGGCAGCCGCCGGAAACTCCCTGCAGCAGTTGTGGGGGTAGTCACGCTAGAGCTACTTGCCGTTTGAAGGACGTGCTCTGTCGCAGGTGTGGTCGCAGGGGCCACATTGCAAGAGTATGCAGGGCACCGAAACCGGCGGAGATGCCCCCGCCCCCCAAGGCCAATCGTCGTGCTCCTGTCAAGAAGACAACTTGTCCGGCCAGCCGTAATTCATGGTCTCGTGAGCAGGGCGGGGTTAACATGGTCCACCCTGATTCTCCTGGGGCAGCCCGCCACAAAATTAACATGACTGTATGTATTGAAGGCCAGCCGTGCCAGATGGAGGTGGATACTGGCTCCGCCCATTCCATCATGTCCTGGAGCACTGTTAAAAGACTGGTGCCGCGGATGGCCAAAAGCCGCCTCACCCCATGCCACTTACAGTTAAGGGATTTCCAAGGGAACCCGATAGCCGTCGTCGGTTCTGGCTGTTTCAGGGTTACTTTTAAGAATTTTTCTGGCCGCCTGCCCCTAATCGTAGTGGAAGCCCCGCTGCCAAGCTTATTGGGGTTGAACTGGTTCCAGGCTCTGGGACTCACTCTGCAGGGGGTAAATACCATCTGCTCGTCTGAATTGGACATGCTAATTCAGGAATTCCCCTCAGTATTCGATGGCACGTTGGGGTGTTATACTGGTGCCCCGGTGTTGTTCAGTTTGGACCCCCAGATTCCCCCTCGACGATTAAAGCCACGCCGAGTGCCCTTCGCATTACAAGCAAGAATGGATGCCGAATTGGATAAGTTGATATCACAAGGGGTCTTGGAGCCTGTGGAATTTGCACGGTGGGAGACGCCTATTGTGACCCCTATAAAAGCGGATGGCTCAATTTGAATTTGCGCAGACTATCGTGCAACTTTAAATAAGGCTCTTTTGGGTCACACGTATCCTGTCCCCGTTGTACAGCATCTGTTGCACTCCTTGGGCCGGGGGTCAGTTTTTGCCAAGCTGGACCTGGCTCAAGCATACCAGCAATTACGGGTGGATGACCAAACAGCAGAGGCCCAGACAATTGTGACCCACCGGGGGGCGTTCCGCTGTCGCCGCCTGCAATTTGGGGTTAGTGTGGCCCCGGGGATCTTTCAGAGCATGATGGAGAGGCTGTTGCATGGAATCCCCGGGGTCATGCCATATTTTGATGATGTTCTGGTAACAGCGAACAGCACGACTGACTTGAGGGATAGGCTGCGTTTGGTCCTTCGTAAGTTTAGCGACGCCGGACTCAAAGTGAACAAAGCCAA